TCTCTTTCATGTTTCTCTGACCCACGCCTCCCTTCCCTACTTTGCCCTTCATCTCCTCTCTTTACCTTTTTCTATGCCTAAAGGTGGAAAAGTAACCCGTCCGGCCCGGCCCGCGGCGGGTTACATTCTTTGGTGGGCCGGGCCTAACCCGCCATTTTTTAGAAAATGGCTGGCCTGGCCCGGCCTGCCAACCCTAACCCGCCGGGTTAGGCGCGGTCCCGGCCGGGTTAGCCCGATTTTTTTTTTTGTTTTTTTGTTTTTTTAATTTAACTTTTCAAATAAATAATTATAAATATAATTGTTTTTAGTTAACTTTTCAAATATCAATAATTCAATTCAATTCAATTTTTTTTTTTTTTTGTTAACATTTCAAATATTAATTCAATTTTAATACAATAAAATTGTAATATAAGAAAAATTAGACTTATTCATTTATCAAAAAATAAAATAAGAAATTACAACAATTATTGCCTCGTTAAAAACCTCACCAAGAAAAACCCAATGGGAGAAAAACTTGGTAAAGAAAAAAGAGTGCAATAATTGACAATTAATTTACAAATTACATTTTACAAAACAACTAATTTGGGGGTGGTTCACTAGGACCTCCCTCATCTGTATCATCTATATTACAAAATTGAAATGATTCTACTAAAGTATTGTCGATAACCTCGTATTGATCTTGATGGCGCGATCGTTCCCAATCTCGAAGACATGTGAGGACTTCAATCATTTTTGGAGCAAGTTTAGTCCTCCTTTCATTTAAAATCCTTCCACTTGCACTAAATGTTTGTTCGGATGAGACGGTTGAGACAGGAACAGCGAAAACATCCAAGGCAAGTCTTGATAATACCGGAAAAATACATTTTCTGGCTCTCCAATACTCTAAGAGATCAAAGTGACCTGTTGAAAACATTTCGGGGGTTGCCAAATATTGTTGAAGTTCATTACTCTGCGACTCCATGGAGGACAGCATATTAGTTGTTGTTGTTGTTGGTGGTGGTGCGTCTGAAGAGGAGGCTGTGCTTCGGACTCGGGTCCTCTTCGGCCTATTCAGTGCATTCCAAGAGAATAAGTCTTCATTTGTTTCTTCTGCTACAGCTTCTCTGGATATTTCGCCTCTTTGCGACTGCGGGTTCCCATACCTGTTTTCATATTGGAAATATACTTCGAAAAGACTATTTTTTACCTCTCCTATTTGATTGACATATGATTCGGTTTGTAAATTTTCACTTAAATTGTCAAAACCATTTTCTAAACGTGCTAATTTAATTCTAGGATCAAATATAGCACCTAAACAATAAAGAAAAGGAATGGGTTCCCAATATTTCAAAAAAAAATTTTCCATTGCCTTTATTGGTGCATGTAAAATTTCATTGTCTTTGTTTTTTGTAAATAACTCGGAAATTTTTATAATTGCATGTATTACCAATGGACTAGTAGGATAATACACACCAGAAAGTTGTAAAGTGGCTTGGTAAAAACATTTGAGAAAAGAATGAAATACTTTAGCTATCTTCCAATCATTTTCTACCAAATGATGAGGACCTCTATTATTTGCTACAAAATAACTAATTATATTAGCATAAGGTAAACATGAATCAAGCATTAAATAAGTACTATTCCATCTAACAGGCATATCTAATGCAAAAGTTCTAGGAGACATATTTGATTTTATACAAGCTTCTTGAAATTCAGCATTTCTTTTATTACTACTAGTAATCCAAGCTAAAGATTCCCTAATTCTATCAATATTTTTTTTAATTGTTTTCATACCACTTTTCACAATTAAATTAATAACATGACATGCACAACGTTGGTGAAAAAACTTCAAATTATTATATAAAAGATAATTATTTTGAAAAAATTCTATAGCTTTACTATTAGAACTTGCATTATCTAAAGTTAAACTTATCACTTTATCAATAATATCATAATCTTCTAAAACTTCAATAATTTTATTATAGATTTCTAAACCACTATGATCCACATCCATTAATCTAAATCCTAATAAAGATTTATTTAATTTAAATTCATTATCAAAATAATGACTAGTCACACAAATATAATCTTGTTTAGCTCTACCACTCCAAATATCAGCAGTTAAAGCCACACTAATATGACAAGTATGAAATTTATTTTTTAATTCTAATTTCATTTTTTTAAACAATTTTATTAAATCATTTCTAGTTGCAGTTTTAGAATAACTTTTAAATCCTGGAAAAAATGAATTTTGAACAAATCTTTCAAAATATTTATCTTCTGCCATATTAATAGGTTGATCAGATGCAGCAATATATAAAGCTAACTGTTCCCTATATACATCAGAATTATAACGCCAAGTAGTACCCATATTAGTTATTTGAGTTTGATTGCTTTCTCTATTTCCATGTTGATTAATATGTTTATTAGCATGCCTTTTTAAAGTACTAGTACCATTACCTGAATCAGCTTTATAAACATTTGCACAATATTTGCATCTTGCTTTCTTGACTTGAACGCCATTTTCTGTCTCGTAAAACTTGTCGAAATGCGCCCAAACGTCTGATGTGTGTCTGTCTTCGCTTTCGACGGCAGTTGATGATCCCGCCTCAGCTTGAGATGAAGTTGGACGAGGACGACGATTACGAGGACGACTTCTAGAACCACCGGGAGCTGTTGGAATCGACGGCATATTTTGAGGTGTATCGGATTCTGAGACTGGGATTGGGACAGCGGGACTATTTGAATCTCCTGCATTCATAGTAAAATCAGCGGGACTAGGACTAGGATAGTAGTTTTCTTCATCATTGAAATTGAGGGGAGAAAAATATCTATCCATTGTAGTTGAAAAAAAAATTGATGTAGAAGAAATAAAAATTAAAGAAAGAGAATTGGAATATGGAAATTGGAATTTGGAAAATTGGAAATATGAATTGAAAATTGCAAAAACTAATAAAAATTAAAATAAGAGCAAATTGATAACAAAAAGATTAAGAGAATAAATGAATAATTGAGAGAATAGAGATTAGAGAATATGAGAGAATGAGAGAATTTGAGTTGTGAGAAAAATATGAGAGTTTAGGGCCAATTTATGGAAAAAAATGGGGAAAGAAAATGACGAAAAAGACCCCTCCAACGGCTATATTTCAAGGGTAAAAGTGTAATTTAAAAAAATAAATAAATTTTACATTTTTAAAAAAATTTTTTTTTTGGCCAACCCGACGGGTTGGCCGTCGGCAACAGCCAACCTGGCAGGTTGGCACACCCAACCCACCGGGTTGCGGTCCTCCTGTAGAGAGGACAAAATAGCAACCCGCGGGCCGGCGGGTTGCCATTTTGCAACCCGGCCCGCCTGGGGGTTGCTGGCGGGTTGAACCCTCTTCATTACGGGTCGGGTTAGGGTTGACCCGCCTAACCCGACCCATTTTTTCCACCTCTATCTATGCCCACATCTCTTCTCTCTCTCTCTCTCTCTCTCTCTCTATCTATCTTTTCCATTGCCCATATCTCCATTCTCTACTATGCCTCTTATACTCCTCTCTCTCCACTTTTTCCTATGGCCAACGTCTCGTAAATCTCTTTCAATATTTCACATGTCTGCAGCGGTAAAAAGAAATTTTCCCATATGTAATATGAGTAGACAGTTATATAGAAAGGAGGAAATAATAATTATGGGTGCGTTTGATTTATTATTTTGGATAAGATTTTAGGGATAGTATTGGATAATTGAATATGAGAGTATTACGAGGTAAAATTTAAAAATTTATAAAATAACCGTCTAAGTTTGCTAATTTAATAAATACCCTAACATGTTAAATGACAAAAATACCCCCACCACCTACAGTGCCAGATTCCGGCCACCACCGCTGGAATCTGGCCAGAAAATCGCGTTACGACATAGACCGGTCGGATCTGTGTCGTAACGCGTCGTTATGGCCTTTTTTGGCTAGATCCACCACGGATCTGACAAAAAAAGGCTAGATCTAAGGCCTTTTTCGGCCAGATCCGTGGTGGATCTGGCCGAAAAAGGCCAAATCAGTGAACTTCTGGCCATTTATGGTCGTCAGGTAGGCCGTTGTACAGATTCCGACTACCACCGACGGTGGTTGTCGGAATCTGATAAGTATGGGTTGTGGAGGTGTTTTTGATAATTTTTAAACCTTTTTTCAAGATGTATTTGATGAAATTAATAATCTTACCGGGTTTAAAAGTAATTAAAAAAATAGAGTAATATTTCTGGAATAATATGCTAAACATTATTTAGAGAATAGGATTGAGAATAGGGATAAAAATAATAAGCCAAACATGGCGGCCGGAGGGAGTAATAATTATGATATTGATGGAGTGCAGTCTTATGTCAATTATTAGTCAACCAAATTATCTATGATAAGAAAACTAAATTGGAATATAACGATATGGTAAGGTTATTAATTATGATGGTGATGGGACCTGAATGGATGAAATTATTTGTACTTGATAATGACGGTCAAAATTGAAAACTATTATTGGAGCTTCATTTGGGGTATGTTGCTCTTGCCTACACTTTTAAATCATAGTAAAATTAATCTTTTACAACATAATTTAAGAATTTGAGCGCAAGAGTAACTTGTCTCCTGTATAAAATTCCAATCAAATATGAGAACACAGTTCGTTGGCTTTTGATGATACTCACCTTCAGTTTACAGGTTAAAATTTTAGGACTTTTGCGAAGAACAACTATATATATATAAAATTGAAACAATGACAAACATGAGATCATTTTAACTTATTGTAATAATTATGATTGTTGTTGTACAATTATGTATTTTATTTTAAGATTATAGAGCTGTAAAGATCAGTTATTTTTTTCTTAAATATGAGCCACTGGTTCAAAGAAAAGTACATGACGTCCGTGGATGAAAGACAGAATTATGGTTTGAGAGTTGGCTTGTTCCCTCCGCAACTGTGACTTTTTTGTTGACAAACTCACTCTAGAGCTAGTGATGTTCATAATTTGCGGTCCTGCTTTCATTATCTCCTTGTAGTCTTACTTATTTCTCCATTCATATCCATTGCTTTTTCCTTGGTGGGTTTAGATATCAACTATATTCCTTCTTTTGCCTTTTGGTGCGGTATTTTGTGCTCATGCAAAGAGAATGTATTTTGTTCTTCTTCATTTTATTATTCTTTTCTATACCTCAAGCTTAACTTCATTACGTATTTTCTAATGGGGGTGCAAATGTGTTCGTTATAAAGAGCTCCTTTTTTTTTATAACAAACATTGTCGCAGTTACTACTACCTGCATGTATATAGATAGTTTATGCATGCAAGTTCTATAATTTTTGTCCAAATTTTTGTTTTGTGTTTGAATCTGTTGCTCTATATTGTTTATCAATTTGCAGTTTTGAATTGATTGCATAGATGGATGAGCAGAGGGATGTTTACACAGTGGATGAGGCACTTGCCCATGTGGGGTTTGGAAAATTCCAATATCTTGTGCTGACTTATGCTGGACTGGGTTGGGTTGCAGAAGCTATGGAGATTATGATTCTCTCCTTTGTAGGACCAGCAGTGAAGTCTGAGTGGGGGCTTTCTTCAACTCAAGAGAGCCTCATATCTACTGTTGTTTTTGCTGGATTGGTGGTTGGAGCTTACTCATGGGGTATTATATCAGATAACTTTGGAAGAAGGTCTGCCCTTTTGCTTTATTTGTTATATTTTCTTGATTTCTTTAATAAATTTTAGATTATCTGATGGATGTGGCAGTACTTAAACTTAGCTAACACAAGAATCTTTGCTTTGATTGGTGAATTTTCAATTTTCTTAAAGCCTTTTGAAGTTTTGACTGTTTGAGATAAGAAATTTGTTCAATCTAAGTTTCTAGGTCTGGTAAAAATTTTAGTTTCTTTTGTTAGGTTGTCAGGGTTTTCTTCTGGAAATTGAAGATAAGCACCAATTTTGTTGCTTGAAGTTCACATTTAAATTATGACAAGCTTTCAGGTGAGGATAAGTACAAGATGACCAAAATTTAGTAATCTTAGTACTGTATCATTTTTGTGGCCAATACATTCGTCTGGGAAGGATGATTAACAGAATGATGGTCATGGAAGCTCAAGATGAACAATTGCATCTATATTTTCAATTCTGTCTTGTATGTATATTGTTCCAGTCCAATTATGCCTAGCGTCATTCTGATTTCCGCATTATAATTTTCTCAATTGATGTATATCTTGGGGAAGTTTAAGTTGGTTTTTCTGCTGAGTTTTTCAATGCTTAGTATGACGTAAGTATGTGTTTATTAAACATCTCATGCTGATCCTCTTGTGTTCGGTGTCCCATATGGCATTCAATCATATTCTCATTCATTTACCAACTTGTTTTGGCTGATTTATGAAGCGAAGATCATCCAAAATGTAAAGCCATTCTTCTAAACGAGTCGTTCCTTTCATTAACCACACACCTGAACTTCAACTTAGCCATTTGACTATTACAATTCCCACATATAAATTTTCTGCTTCATACTTTGGTCACATTAATCAAATTGATTTCTCATTACTGTTCTTCTATGTTTCATTACCAGGAAGGGTTTTCTGGGAGTAGCAATTGTAACTGCTGGAGCTGGGCTGTTAAGTTCTTTTTCTCCAAATTATATATCGTTGGTAACTCTTCGTTGTTTGGTTGGTGTTGGCCTTGGCAGTGGGCATGTATTCTTATCCTGGTTTCTAGAGTTTGTTCCAGTTTCGAATAGAGGCAAATGGATGGTTGTCTTTTCAGCTTTCTGGACTCTTGGATCAATTTCTGAGGCAGCACTTGCATGGGTATGTATTTTATCATGGCACTGCACTTTTCAAATTCAATAGCAGGACCCTTTGAACTTATGGACAACAACATATATGACTATCTAGACACCGTACTGGGCTACTAGCTAAACTGGTTGAGATCATTAACATCTCCAATTATTATTTGGTTATTCTTTGTTGATTCTATTCATTTTGAGGGATTGTTTTTTCCCAACTACCCCTCTCCAGTTGAGTCATTAAACTTGAAGCTAAGTATTGAGCTTTGGAAAAATCAGTAAGTTCATTGCAAGTTTATTGTTAAACATATTTCCATATTTACTAGTTTTTGCTCAAACTGTTTTGACATTTGGATTGGTTAATCGCACTCATATATAATTTGTTCCATAATCTGCTGGCTTTGTTGGTCCATTGCTTCCTGAAGTCAACTGATAATTAAATCCTGAAATTCATCACTAGATGTCATTACTCATTGTAGATTCTGCCTACTAATTTCCAACATAATACAACCTTACCTCTGTCACAAAGGAAGTTTGATTCTCTCAACTTTTGCTGTGTAGTGGTTCTTCAAGTTTTTCTTCCCCTAAAATATTGGGAAAGCCTCTCTTTTCTCTTTCTTCCTGGGGAAAGGAAATAGTTTTAAGACTACATGCCATTTCAATATTCTGTCACCTCAATTGCAGATTGTCATGCCAAGATTGAACTGGAGGTGGTTACTTGCACTGTCCTCTGTTCCATCGTTTGTCGTGCTTGTCTTTCTTGGTGTTTCACCGGAATCTCCAAGGTATCTATGTACAAAAGGTAGAACAACCGATGCACTTCATGTTCTGGACAACATGGCGCAACTTAATGGAACAAAGCTCCCAAATGGCATGCTTGTTTCTAATAAAACTGCCTGGGATGAAGAATTTGCTACGCCAGAACATGTTCATCTTCTTACATCCAATATCAACAAAACTGCGGAGGCAAAATCTGGCTTCTCATCATTTCTCTTGCTTTTCTCATCAAGATTAATTAGAACAACCTTTCTCCTGTCCATTTTACTCTTTGGAAATTCATTCGCATATTATGCCATTGTATTGTTTGTCTCCGAGCTAAGCAGTGCAGAGAAAACTTGTAGCTCCACTTTCTTACTTTCAGATAATGTCCAGAATTCAAGCCTCTACATAGATTCATTCATCACTAGCCTGGCAGGTACTTTGTTTCTAATTTATTCCGTATTATGATTTTGTGTTTGTAATTTTCATTTGACTTGAAAATTCTCTTCCAGAGGTTCCTGGACTTCTTTTATCAGCAATACTAGTCGACAGAGCTGGTCGCAAGCTTTCGATTTCAATTATATTCACCCTAGCTTTCATTTTTCTTTTGCCACTGGTTATCAGTCAGTCCAATATTTTAAGAACAAGCTTATTGTTTGGAGCTCGCATGTGTGCCATGGGAACCTTCACAATGTCTTTAATATATGCCTCAGAGGTAAGCCCCTTAGAGATATGTTCTAACTCAATTACTTGGGAACTTTAACTGACTTCCAATGAACTTATTCGCTGCCAATTCTCATTTAATTTTTTTCCTTTTCCCTATAGTTATATCCAACTTCAATGAGGTCAACTGGTACTGGATCTGCAAATGCTATGGGAAGAATTGGCGGCATGGTTTGCCCTTTTGTGGCGATTGCGGTGGTCGAGGGTTGCCATACAAGGGCTGCCATCATAGTCTTAGAGGGTGTGATTGTGGTATCAGTAATAAGTGTTCTACTCATCCCATTTGAAACAAGGGGACAGGAATTGAGTGACATTGTAGAGGCTGTACCAAATTCTAAACAAGTTACTGTTGGTGAGTAATAAGTTTGTATGTATATTATATATCTCACCATTATTAGGGAAGTGTAATTAAATGGTTCACCAATATTATTTTCTATTTATTGTCAAGGTAAATTAATAAACTTTCTTCTTCATTGCAATTGATGAGGCTTCAAAATTAGGTGTGAGTCTTGGCAATGGGAAGATGAGATCTTAGCTTAGTGTTGTTTAATTCTTAATATAATGGTTGATATTTCTGTTTCCACGCAGCTTAATTGGTGATAACAATTTTGCCCAAGAAATTTTGAATTAAAAAAGAAAATAGACATTTGACCATAGCCTCTACAGAAGTTGGTTGTGCTAACAGTATTTATCATGGGATGGCCATTAATAATAGCTAAGCCGAACATGGAGTGTTGAGAAAAAGTAGAAGAGCTAAAATTATTTTTAAATAGTAATTCATAATTTTATTTTTAAAATATAAATTGTTTAATTATATATATTTTAAGTGAAATTCACTTCATTTAATAAAAACATGAGTGGACAAAAAGATTAGAACGATTTCAATTTCATCTAATAAGACGTTTTGGATAAAATATTATTAGATTCTTTTTGTAACATATGTATATATTTATGTAATTAGGTTGGTTTTTTTATTATGATAAGAAACAAAACCTTAATTAATTATATATATTTTGAGTTTGATTCGTCGTCTTTTTCGTACTTACTCCACAGACGGCCAAGCCGTCTCAAATCATGATGAATTCAATCTTTATTTAACTAGGAAGCCTTCAATCCGGGTGATTTTTTTCTTGTTTCTTTCTGTTCAAAATTGTTGTTGAGATGGATGATCAAAGTCCTGTATACACGCTTGATGAAGCACTTAATCATGTAGGGTTTGGGAAGTTTCAAGTTCTCCTTCTCCTTTTTGCTGGAATGGGTTTGGTTGCAGAAGCTATGGAAGTAATGATTCTATCATTCATAGGACCTGCAATTAAGTCAGAGTGGAGACTTTCGTCAGGTCAAGAATCTCTTTTAACCACTGTTGTATTTGGTGGGCTGCTTCTTGGTTCATATTCTTGGGGCTTTATATCTGATAATTATGGTAGAAGGCAGGTTTTTTTTTTTTTTTTTTTCATTTTTATCCTGTATTCCTCTTTGCTGATACTTCTAATCTGCGTCTTATTTTCTTTTTTAAATGTCAACAAGCTTTCAGTGTCAATATTTTGTTGGTTTCTGGTCAATATTCTTATGTATTTTTTCTGATTTTAATTAGAAGTATTTTTAATCTTATTTGGAACTTTCAGGAGCTTTGTTTTGTAATTGAATAGTTTTTTATTTCTGTTTTGTTGTGTAAGTAGAAAAAGCTTTCATTTTTATGTGAAGTTACATATACCATGTAAAGCTTCCATTTAGCATAAGAAATGTACATTTTGAATTCATATGTCATCTTTAGTGAGCAAGAGTGTTTGGATTTTGATTCAGGGATTACTAGCTTAGGGTTAACAAATTTTAGGTAACAGTTATCTTTGTAATCACATATTCCACTCTGGACTGTGATGCTCTGTCCAAGTATGCGTTGTTCTGTTTCATTTTATTTATTATGGATGTGCATGTCTCCAGTTCTTCTAGTTTACTTGTTTACTTTAAAGTTTCTTGTTATCCTTTCAACTGAGGGTATCAATCTTTAGTACAATAGATTACATGTGTGCTTATGTTGAACATAATCTCGGCTTGCATATTGTAACATTCATTCAACTTATTTGGTCCTATCTAATATACATCAAGTTAAGTAGTCACACCAATAAATTTAATGTGAAGCCATCCTATTGAAGATGTAATCTGTAAATCTGATTTCTTTGTTCAAAACTTTATATTTGCTTGATGTTGGAGTCATTTGATGAATGTTACTAATTCCTTTGTGCTTTTGATACATTGGTGAATCTTATTTCTAATTGACTTATTCCATTCCCTTTATAGGAAGGTTTTCTAGGCAAGCTGTGGTGGCTAGTGTGACTGGGTTATTGAGTGCTTTCTCCCCAAACTATATGTTATTGGTGACTCTCCGTGGTTGGTTGGTTTTGGCCTAGGCGCCGGGCCTGTATTCTTAACCTGGTTTTTAGAATTTGCACCTGCTTCCAATAGAGGCATGTGGATGGTTGTCATATCAATTTCTGGACACTAGGAACTATATCTGAGGCTTCACTTGCTTGGGTTTGTCTCTATTTCCTACATCATTTCCTTTTGTTTGGTTGCTTGTGTTTTGAAACCTTATCTTACTTGTAATGAAGCATCTCTATCTCTATCTGTCTATGTACTATCATCAAGGGTATAACTTGTTTGTAGGTATTATTAAGTTTCCAAAATTTTGATCTTTGCTTTTTATTTTATTTAGCTTTGTCAGCAGATTATAATTGGTCTTTTGCTTCCTCTTCATTATCTGTCAGACCATCAGATTGCTTTAAGTTAGGAATTTGGTGTGTGAACTCAACCTGCTTTCCTGGAGGGATCGCTGTTTCTTATTTGTTTGCAAATAGAAACTCTCGATTCATTTGAGTTTGATTTGCCATTGGCATCATTATTGTGTATTAGAAGGAGTCGTTAAAGCAAATTATGTACTTAGCTGTATATAACCCTTTGCATTTATTCATTTTCTTAAAATTCATCCTATATTCTGCTCAATAGCACATAAAATAATTTGATAGTGGTAACCATGCGGGACTGCATTATTTCATATGGAAATATATATTCTTCCTCTCATTATATGACACAGCAGTTGACATCCCTTTCAGTATGAAAAGAAGAAACTAAAGAAAAAATAAATAAGAAAAAGACTCTTTAAGCACAGAACAGAATCACACTGTTGTGTCCCGTCCAAACCCATCAATTGCTTGAAGTACACTTTCTGAAATGCCCTTTCAATGCCGTGGAACCTGTTTTTCTAGAAAAGATTGTGGCTGACAAATGGATAAACTGGTAAACATATTAGCTGCAAATCACGAACTTATCTTCAAGGCGGAAACTAAAGATGCTTAGTATGTTTCAGAAAACCCTCATGAGTAAATTGATATATCTAACATACTATAATGAAAATGCTATTAAATCCTTAATGTATTTATCTTCAGTCATTAATTTGTTGTTCAGAATATGCAAGCTCTCATAAGTTATGGAATTAGTTGAAATGATGTGCTAGTAGTGCATAAGACTCAAAATCTGAAGACTCAGCATAAAACTCAAAATTTGTTTTTATTGCAGTTTATCATGCCAAGATTGAATTGGAGGTGGCTTCTAGCCTTGTCCTCTGTACCCTCATTTGCTGTGCTGCTTTTGTTTGGTCTTGCACCTGAGTCTCCAAGGTATTTATGCTGGCTGGTAGGAGTTCCGATGCTCACCACATTTTGAGAAAGTAGCTCTAAGGAACAGGACAAATCTTCCTTCTGGAATGCTTTTTCCTGATAACATAGACTAGATAATGAATTTGTTATTCCGGAACATAAACCTCTGCTTCCTTCATCTGCAAACAAAATGCCAGAAGTCAATCTGGAGGCTCTCCATTTTTTATGCTTTTATCATCAAGATTAATTAAAACTACCTTACTGCTTTGGGTACTTCTTTGGAAATTCATTCTTATATTTGGGATTGTCTTGCTGACATCGGAGCTAAGTAGCAGGAACTAAATGTGGTTCAACGCTCTTGTTTTTACAAAAAGCCGGATGCAAGTCTATACATTAATGTATTTATCACTACTTGGCAGGTAATGCATCTCTGATATATCTTTTTCTTGTTTTTGTTCCTTATAGTGATCATTGTTAATTACTTTTAACTGTGCGATTGTTATAAAAAATTAACTTAAAAATTCTTTTCCAGAGCTTCCTGGTCTTCTATTATCTGCAGTAATTGTGGACAGATTTGGTCGCAAGATCTCCATGACGATTATGTCTGTTTTGACTTTTATGTTTCTCCTACCGCTGGTTGTCCATCAGCCTGTAACTTTAACAACAGCACTATGTTTGGAGCTCGGATGTTCGCCAATGGAACCTTCACAGTTGCCAGTATCTAGCCCCTGAGGTTTTTTTCCTGGTTTTCTTATTTATGCTCTTCAAGAGGCCCCAGTCTTTTATTTTCTTACTTCTAAGGTCTTGAGATTAATATTGTATCTCCAATTTTTTCTCCAGGTATCAAACTTTTTCACCGTCCCATAAATGAGGATTAGTTTACAACAACATTGCCTGAATAACATTGAAATCCATGTCTTGACATTAATATTGTATGACACCAATATTTTCGCTCCAGTTTCAAACTTTTTACCCCTCCGCCTTTTTTTTGGCAGGTATTCAACATCTGTGAGGGCAAGTGGTTGCGGCATTGCAATGTGCAATGGAAGAATTGGAGGGATGGTATGCCCGCTTGTGGCGGTGGGAATGGTGAGTGGTTGCCATCAAACAGCTGCCATTTTGTGTTGGAGGTTGTAGTTGTTGTTTCAGTAGTATGCATACTGCTCTTCCCATTTGAATCTAGGGACGAGAATTGGCTGACACAGCATAACATGAGGCTTTAATAACATAAATGTAAGTTTTTATGATTATGTTCATCAAACCTGTTCTGCAGTTCAAGCTTCTTAAAGATGTATAACGTGGCTTTATGATGAGCAAATTTGTTTTACAAACCCAATGGTTATATTTGACTTACTGCCAAATTCAATCCATTGAACTTGGAACACACACCCACGCACACATATATATTGAACTAAGAATAAAACAAAAATTTGTATTAAAAATTGTTTCTCTAAATGACGAAAAAATAATATTTAAAGTTTTAAGAGTAAAAGTATATTAATAATATGCTTTCCATTATCTACAAAATATTTTTGTTACTTTAAGTTATTAAAAGAAAATAAAAAAACGATTATGTTGCTTTGCTTGTAAGCAATATATTTTTGGAATGCTTGACAATAAAAAGGTACTAATAAAACTATGTGCACTAACCATGTGTACTAATCTAATGTACTAACATTGGAAATTGAAATTTCCTCCAAAAAAAATTTCAAATTTCCAATGTTAGTACTTGGATTAGTACACATTGGTTAGTGCACATAACATTCTCAAAAGGTATTTTGTTTTAAGTAAACGGCCTTTTTTCACCCCAAGATTTCTTTAATGACACTTTTCAACCCAAAATTTTCAAATATAGTTTTTCCACTCAAAGTTTATATTTTGACTAATCGTCGGCCTAT